TCTCAGTAGCTCAGTTGGCTAGAGTGCTGGCACAGTGTGCCAGAGGCCCTAGGTTCGAGTCCCTGTTGAGACTTGACTTTTCACCACCTGTGACATACCACCTGTGACATCTAGGTAAGGTTAAAACCATTAAATGCTCTCATTTCTACAGAGTTGTATGACATTTCTTTTTATATAAGATTGGGATACTCAGTAGGTTCCTGTTCCCAAGGAGAGATAAATTAACAGATCAATAATTAATGGGAAATGAAATAATCTGAATTAAACTGATGTGAATTTAATTGTGTTCATATGTAAGTTAATGTAAAGTAATAAAAAATTATAATTTTATATTTCTACTGTAACAGTCAAGGCTATTAGAAATTCAAAGAGGCTATATGATGTCATTTGTAAATTGTGTCATATAAGCAGAGCAGACCCATTTGATGTAATATAATAGTAACTGTGCTGCCACATTAAGGAGATAAATAAAATTTTCCTTTGTTTTTCAGTCAAAAATAGCGCAGATACAAATTTGACCATGGATACGTGATATCTAACTTGTTTACTGATCACACCATCATGTGCATTGATCAGGTCTATGGCACTTTCCGTAGACAAATTCGCTATAAAAACGAAGGCCTTACAGTTTGTTTGAAACAAGTCGGAACATACAACCCAGTCACATGTAGGTTACCCGATATTTGGTACATGTAACAAGGTTAATAAGGCAACAATATATTTTACGAACTGCTGACTTAAACTGAGGGTATTTAAATTTCTGTAACATAAACATATTACTTATAGATGCTCTTGAGTAGCAAGTAAGTTGAAAACATAACAGCATAAGCAGGTGAAAGTTGGATGTTAATAAATACATTAGGAAACTTGATTTAATAAAAGCTGGTATCTCGTTTGTCATGCTATTTTGATGTTATATAATAGTAAGCCTTAATATGAATAGTCAGTGAAACATCCCAATCTGAAACAGATTTGTCAGACTCTGGGATATATCAAGTCGACTTCTGAATGAAAACAGCAAAAATTGTTATTTTTCAAGACTTTTGTCGAGATACATGTATATCTGACTGTCGAACTGAGAGCTACAGCATATGTTTTCTTTTTTAATCAATTCTGCCCTATAAGGAAATAAACACAGGAATTTTTTTAAAGGAGCACAGTTAGTGCCCATTAGAATTCTTAAAGCTTTTTGGAAAACTTGCATTTGCTTTTTGAATTCTATTGGGCAGTAACTGTGTTCCTTTAAAAAGATACCCTGTCTTAATATCCTTATAAGGCAGAATTGATTCAAAATCTTCTATTTGAGAAGAAAACATATGCAGTAGCCTTTGGTTCGACATTCAGACGTATCTATATCTCAACAAAAGTCTTATCAAATAACAATTTTAGTTGTTTTTATTTATACATGGACTTAATATATCCCAGATTCTGCCAACCCCGTTTCCAGTTTTGAAGTTTTACTGACTTTTGAATATACCTTTATGCATTTTATGAAGTAACAACGAAATAGTATGACGAATAAGATGACCAGCTTTTCTATCAAGATTCCTAATCCATTCAGTAACATTTTACTTTCACCTGCTTATGCTGTCATGTTTTCAAACTTATTTGCTACTCAATTTAGAGCTTTCTACGAGTAGGATGTTGATGTTATAGGAATTTCGATACCCTCAGCTTCCGTCGGCATTTCATAAAATATATGATTGCTTTATCGACCTTGTTACATGTACCAGATATAAGCTAGCTAGCTCACCTGAGCTGAAGACTCAAGTGAGCTTTTCTGATCGAAATTTGTCCGTTGTCTGTCGTTGTCGTTAACTTTTCACATTTTTATCTTCTTCTTAAGAACCAATGGGCCAATTTCCACAAAACTTGCCACAAAGTATTCTTTGGTAAAGGGGTTTAAAGTTTGCTCAAATAAAGGGCCACATCTTCTTTTCAAAGAGAGATAATTGTGAAGTATTGACAAATTAATGGCATACCGGTATTTTAAAAGTCTTCTGGAGAAACCCTGGGTCAGAAGAGATGAAACTCATGTAGAAGCATCCCCTGATAGTGTAAATTCAAATTTGTTTAAATCATGACCCCCAAGTGTAGGATGTGGCCTTGTTCAAATCATTATGTCTGGGGGTAAGGTGGGGCCACACTCATGACAATGGCGTATCAAAGTTTAACAAGCAAATTCAAAGAATTGTGGTCCCCCGCTTTCGGTGTCTTTGTGGGCGAGATATTATTTTTTAGGGTCAAGGTCAAAAGGTCAAAGTTATTGGTATCCCATAAAAGGTCTTGCCACAAAGAATACATATATTTAAAATATGAAAGTCCTAGTTTCTACCGTTCAAAGGTTGTGACCAAGGTTAACGTTTTAAAAAAGTAGTTAAAACTCCAAGGTCAAGGTCAAAGGGTCAAAGTTCTTGATATGAAATGAAAGGTCTTCTCACAAGGATCACATAAGTGAAGTATGAAAGCCCTAGCTCTTACCGTTAAAAAGTTATGGTCAAGGTTAAAGTTTTTTTTCAGAAGTACGTAAATCTCGAAGGTCAAGGTCAAAAGGTCAAAGTTATTGGTATCCCATGAAAGGTCTTGCCACAAAAAATACATATGTGGAATATAAATGTCCTTGTAACTACCGTTCAAAAGTTGTGACCAAGGTTATTATTTTTAAAAAGTAGTTAAAACTCCAAGGTCAAGGTCAAAAGGCCAAAGTTCTTGGTATGCAATGAAAGGTCTTCTAACAAGAATAATATATGTAAAGTATAAAAGCCATAGCCCTTACTATTCAAAAATTATGGTCAAGATTATAGTTTTTTCATAAGTACGTAAATTTCCAAGGTCAAGGTCAAAAGGTCAAAGTTGTTGATATCGAATGAAAGGTCTTGTCACAAAGAATAAATATGTGAAATATGAAAGTCCTAGTCCTACTATTCAAAAGTAATGGCCAAAGTAAAAGTTTGGAATTTTTGAGTAAAAGTTGGTCAAACTCCAAGGTCAAGGTCAAAAGGTCAAATTTGGTGGCACCTAAAAAAAGGTCTTATCACAAGGAATACACATATGAAATATGAAAATCATAGCTCCACTAAATCAAAAGTTATGGGCAAGGTTAAAGTTTTTGTGACGGACGGACAGACTGACGGACAGACGGACAGACAGACGGACGGACGGACAGACGGACAGACGAATGAGATTTAATGTCCCCTCGCTTTCGCGAAAGCGGGGGACAACAAAGTAGGAATACATAGGGACAATCTTTCAAAAATCTTCCTCTCAAGAACTTCTGGGCCAGAAGAGATGAAACTCATATAGAACCATCTTCATGTAGTGTAGATTTAAGTTTGTTCAAATCATGACCCCGGGTGTAGGATGGGACAACAATAGCGTGTCAAAGATTTACAAAGTAATACATGTACATAGGAAAAATCTTTTAAAAATCAAAGCGATTCAACATTCCTATGTAAATTGCACAAAGGTATACCGTATAAGTGGAAATTTTAGCGAGACGCAAATTTAGCGATTTCTACCTTAGAACTGGTATTCTATTTTTAGCGAGAAGTAATTTTAGCGATTGTTAGCGATTGTTTTAAATGCTTACTAAAGAAGCTATTACAAATAATACGCAATTAATTTTTAGCGATATTCAATTTTAGCGATGTCAGCACCCTCGCTGATAATGCCAAAATTAAATCCTCGCTAAAAATTCTACTTATACGGTATATTGGAATAAACATTCTATTCCCTTATACAGAAATAATCTAATACAAAGAGTTATGAAAATGATAAGAGATAAGTTTTAAATATAACTTTCGTTATAATTATATGTGTTAGTCCTGTTCTATTGCACCGTGTTGAGTCATGCAGTCTATTCTTGTGAAAGTGTTTTATTTTCTCTGTTTCGTCTACTTTTGTACAGCAGCCTGCCTCATTCACACACCACCACCTGGAGAGCCTGGGACACAAGGTAATAACTCAGGACGGCGGTAAAATGGGACACAAGGTAATAACTCAGGACGGCGGTAAAATGGGACACAAGGTAATAACTCAGGACGACGGTAAAATGTGATATTATTATAATGTTTTAGAATATTACCAGACGGGAAGCTAGGGTTTGTTCCAAATTAATGTTGTTTTATTGATTTTTATTCTTTTCAAATAAGATTTCATGTGCACTTTTATTGTTTCCCAAAGTTTTGTCATTACAACATTTCACCTTACATGTAATCTATGTACTAGAATGGCATGCTAACTTTGTATTTACGATCTTATGAAAATTGAAATTTTGTTGATTCATTATTTCTATGGATAAACGAAAAGATCCAAATATTCCTGTACACTGTACCAGAATGTAGCAATAAAAATTTATGCTTTTATGATAAACCCTTAGGGTACAAATTGTTCAGTGCAGTATCTAAGACTTGAAAGCTACTAGTCTACAGGGTGAGTGTGTTCGATACAGGTGCGAAGAACAAAATGAAGAAGTGAAACACTCTCTCAGGGATCTAGCAGGCGGACATGATTTATTCTTTATTAAAGATGATCCCTATTGAAGCATACTGAATTGAAAATTGCTGCTGTAAGATTTTTCATAGGTATATTTCTTGTGAAGTAACCTGTCCAAGTGAACCAATGAATTTGATCTCTAAACGACTTTGGGTCATTTTATGTTCCCTGTTTCTAAGGATAATTCCCAGAATGTTTCTTGCGTTTACAATCTTTAAAAAAAGAGTTTTTCATTGGAACAAAGAATGAAAATTACTGTTGTGCGATTAAAACTATCACCTATCAATAAGGGACACATACATGTATATGTACACATATATGCAAGATCCTATACATTAAAACTTTTTGATATATACTACCCTAAGTTCATGATTATCAAAACGTTCACCTTACAGTATTAATGATTAATGTGTTCTCTGTGGAAACTGCAGTCATATGTACATTGATGTCAATATTAAGTACATGAAGAATTATAAGAATGATAAGAGAGAGAGGTAAGACAGTAAAACTATCGATATTAGTCCTATAGAATTGTGCAATTCCTTGTTATATTTCTTTGTGACATGCAGTCCATTCTTGTGACGGTGTGTTTCTTTCTTTCCTTCATCTTTTGTTGCTCAGCATTCTGTTACTCATTGATGCCATCACAACATGGCACACAAGGTAGGAGTTAGAGGAATTCATTAGTGATCTTGACATCATTTACATGGTTTTTATATTGTTTTTATTCAGTTCAATTCATTACGATATATTACGAATTGTCAGACTGTTTTTTACCATATATCAGTAAATTTAGTAGAGATTGGAGGTAACAAAAAGAAGGGCCACATTTTCTTTCATTCAGAGATAATTATGTACTATGCTATACATCGACATTATTTGTAATAAGGAAATTAAACAGTAAACTTTATATGAAGACCCAAGGCGGTCACTGTAAAAACATATATTTGTCTTCATTTTTTAAATAGTTATGGCCGCTTAAATAGTTAAATGCAGTTAAATGCAGTTAAATGCATTAATGTAGTTAAATGTGATACCACAAACAACACTGATATATGATGCTAATAAATATTTGCCCCTTTTTCTTTTTCAGCTTCCAAATACCACTGTAATCTGAATGGCGTTGGTTTAGCGGCGGGAGAAACCTACACGAACATGACCAGCTGTCTCAAGTGTCACTGTGCTGAGAATCATTATGTATTCTGCTGCTCGTATGTCATACTCATTCAAAATGAGAGTTCATTTATTTAAACAGAATGTGCCTTAGACTACACTGCAAATACAAAAAAAAATTTCAGTAATTAAAATATTTAAACTTAAATCTCATGATCTTTTATATTATTTTATCTTTAATAAATAATGTTTCATAGACATTATTTTAAAATAATTTTTAAATGCAATCCCTTTGAATTGTATATTTACAAAGACGGCGAAACAAGTGTTCTTCACCTTCTTCATTAAAAATACAATGTATAGGTATATTTGATATAAACAATATATATCTTATCTTATTTAGAATGACATCCAGTTACATGTTGCCAGAAGGTTGTGTCGTCATAACTAAGGACTGTGTTCAGGAGATTGTCTACGAATCTGACGGCTCTCAATGTCAGCCATTGGCGGCTGTAGGGAAGTGACGTCATTGAATGAAAATGACGTCACTGAATAAGACGTGTAAAATTCTGAATAAATGAATGGTTTCTTTATTATTGACAGAATATAATAAAGAATTAAGGCGGGACTGGATAATATATTTTACAACAAGCGCCCGGAAAGTACATGGTGTCATATTGTTTTTTTTTAAATTTACCGGGCGGTAGTATATACAAAAAATAAAATATGAGAACTTTTTTGTATTTAACACCAACCGGTAAATTAAAAAAATACAATATGACAGTGGACCTAAATGGATTATTCTAGACAGACTGTGATATCGTTAATTTCGTCGAAAATTTTGTCTTCGAATTTTACTTTTTGTTGATTTTGCTAAAGTTGATGTAATAACTGTCTCTACATAAAAATATGCTGGAATTCTAAAATGTGTGAGAAAGGATGAATACCTATAGCTATACTTTGCTCGCTTTTTCTTTATGATGAATTTCAATAACAATAGATTAACAAGGTGTGAAAGGAAATTATGTCTTCTACATAGTATTTCTATAGAATCATTAATTTTCGTGGAGAAAATTTTAATAGATTGCTAAAACTAAATGGGTTGGAAGAGAAGTCGGCGTTCATGTACTAATTCTCTTTTACCCTCAAAGATACTCTTAATTAAATGTTTATTAATTTTTGGAGGGCGTTTATCGTGACTGAGAGGTACCCACGAATACCTCCATATTTGAGCTTCCACGAAATCCAATGATTCGATACCAGTATTATTTCAAGGATTTATTATTTCAATTACTAAGTTTTAGTGCAATTTTGGTAAACTTGTTCTAATTTAAAAAAAAAAGAAATTAAAATTCGTCTTGGTTTTTGTCAGTTTCTAACGTTGGACTATTTAAAAGATCGATAGGCACGAATTTTGTTTCCTTATAAGCAAACTTGTCATTTACATTTTTATTTTAAGTTAAGACAAAATGTCAAATATGTTGATTTTTGAAATCAGTTGAAGACCGCTTCGCAAGAAATACATCTGTGAAATAAGACACCCCCAACACCGGCTATGGAAAAGCTTAGCTTTTCAAAAGTACGTCAAACTCAAGGTAAAGGTTAAATGTTGCATGTGATTTCCAAAAGAAAGGTCTTGTCTATAGGTATAACTTTGAAATATGAAATCCTTTTTACTTAAATATACAAAAGTTATGCTCAGGGATATCGAATTTTCAAGAGTAATCCAAACAACTCAACAGTCTTGGACAAGTATCAAAATTATTGATATCCAAGAAAATGTCTTTTCACAAGACATTTATAATGAAAACACTTGCACCAGTCAACCAAATCCTTTTGCAAAGCTGAGTTTTGGGAACTGGGGCTATTTTTAAAATTAACCCTCATTTAACCCCTGTGAAAATGGAAGTGAAACCTTATTGCTCATGTATAAGACACCAGCAATCATCGTTCAATTAGATGTTTGGCTTTTGTTTTAATTGTAAGAAGAGTTCATGGAACCATGCATTTTGTAGAGCAAACAATTGTCACTTTTTTGGACCCGCCCTTTGGTCCCAGGGTAAAGTTGAACTGTCCACTACTTACTTGGTCAACTACAGTACACAATCATATTCCAAATGAAAAGAGTACGTGTTGTTTGAAAAGTTCGTGGTTGGATGCGATACAATTAATACTTTAATTATGTATTATATGCTCCCAAAATTTTTAAGCAACTAAAAACATCAAAAGAAAAAAAATGTTAATAATAATAGTTTGATACCTTGAATATTCACCAAATTATCCTAAAAGAAAGAAGACATTATACGATCACCTGACATCTTTGTTTTTCAGTGTCCACATTCTCTTACTCATATACTTAAGGATTATAACACAAACTTTTTTTCAGAAAAAGCAATATTTCTCATAGATTTACATTTAAATTGGTTACCTTAATAATGTTTACCAAGTATAGTGGGAGAATTGCGTGAAATTTTTTGGTCATAAGATTAAAATTTGTGCAAAAATTTTGTATAGCAGGCAAAGCACAAAATTTCATATCTAAGCACCAAGGAAAACCTACAATTTTTTTATATTTCAGGGATTTATTATTCATGGCTGGGTAGTTGTGGCCATTTTTAGACTATTTTGATCTCCTTTAGAAGAAGAGCTCCATATAAACATATAATAAAATGATCATATTTAAAAACTAAAATTTATGATTTTTTTCTTTCCCAAATGATAGTTGTCAGCTTAAGATACCACTTCCCAAAATTTAAGTTAAATCTGGTGGTTCATAAAAAATAATTTGTTGACCCTGGCTTCCTTAATAGATGATATTCCTTGGAGATAAGCAACGATTTAAACTCGTCTTGTTTATATGATTTTACAATATCAAGAACAGATTATTTGAATGCATATAATACTGTAAATATATCTGAAAGATTTTTACTTGATTATAAAAGCATATTTGCCGGTCGGAGCTGAACATCTATCACAGATGATCAACGTCACTTTTCGGTGTGAAAAACATTGAACGGCCTTACTATTAAAACTTATTAAATTTTCATACTGAAACGGGTGAATATTGCAAATTTTACGATGCAATTTTTCATTTCAAAAACGAGATTTTTTTCAGTTACACTTAGGTACAAAAAACTAATCTCCAAGGTTCTGTCGCCTTGACATATCATTGCTTTCAAAAACATCAACAATTTATTAAATAATAAAACATGTAAAACTAATGATAATAATAATAATCTTTATTTATCCAGGATAACACAATTGGCCTAAAGCTAGTTTTCAGTGTGGTCCTGCAATGAGGCTTATTAAATCTTAAAATAATTCATTGATGCATCTTAAAGGATTTTGGAGCTAGTAAAAGAGTTTTCCGAACAAACCTTGTACATAACCACTGCTTAAGACACAAGAGTGAAAGATATGGAGATAACGAAAAGTAATCAATATTAAAGTCAATAAAACAATACAAACTATTAGCAGAGCAAACACATGCCTCTTAAACATCAGAGGTGGGATCAGGTGCCATGAAGGAGTGAGCATCCCCTGCAGACCGTTCACGTCCGCCGTATGCTCCTTGTCATGATCGGAAAACAACGAAAAAATCCGTGTCAATTTATTGTATTAACAATGGACTAACAATTAGTATGAAAAACGTCAGTCAGCATTTGACTCGATGATAAATTGCATTTGCTGACCAAGATCATATTGCATCGACAAAAGAACTTACAAAATGATGACTCTAAACGTAGAATCATCATGCTCTTGCGTATCGATTCAAGTGAGATATACTGTTTAAACGAGTAGTATGTATAATATGCGTACATAATAAATAAGTGTTTTAAATTTAATGTAAATAAATTAAACTACCATAATATACAAAAGTATAAAAAGCTTGATCCGCTCCTTTATATCCTTAGCCCTTTACCTGTACACCTGTATATAGATAATTAGTTACCTTAGGGCAGTTCAAAGGTTTTGGAGTGTTATTGGTTCTTATTGGTAGTTTGGTTGTCAAGTTGATTTTCATTGGTTTTATTCTTATGGTCATTGGTTTTACCGCCAAAATATTGATTCTTTGTCTTGTTGAGAAATGACCAAGACTGTATTTTATGGACTCCATGACTGACTTTTGGAGACTGACAAATTCCATTTTTTGGTAAGTACTAACTTTCCTTATTACTAATTGTCAAGTAATATGTCTATTCCATAGATTTGCATTTATTAAAGATCCCAATTTCACTTCATATTAATTGAATGTATGACCATGAGAGAAAGATGTTATTTTTATGATTGGAATTATTGATTGTAAAGATCAGTAATGTATTATATTATAAGTGTAAATTGTTATATTCAAGTTACACCATATATTTTTATGACCCAGATATTTGGTTACTTTGTTCAAAGTGAACAGATGATTTTATTTTAAAAGGAATATATATTTTAATGTATACTGTATTAAATTACAGAGTCCATATACATGTCATTGCAACTGTAAACATCACACATTCATGTGGTAGCCTTTTCCCACAGAATGGTGAGGAATTATTTGTTTTAATTAGTATTATTTTTTATGCCTTTATATGGGAGAAGATATGTAATGTCTATATATTCACTATAAGAGTTATCTCCCTTAATTGAGAGTAAATGTACATATATGTATATCATCTATAATATATCATTATGAATATATTGATTATGAGAGCTACATGTATAGATGATTAATAGGATTGAATTGATGTGCTATTATATTGTTGTTTTATTATATTTCAGGGCTATAATAACATTTGTATTACATAAAGTGCTCACTGTGTCGAATAAATAAGACCTGAACCCTGACAGAGGAGTACGTGTTGTTTCTTCATCACCACCCCCTGTTACAATTTGGCGCCCACGTTGGGACACAGTGACGCACAGCAGTGAACGGAGAGGACTGGGCGTGGTACATCCTTGATGGTATTCCACAGAGACGTCATTCGTGACTGGTACCCTGAGTATTCAGCGATTCGTGACGATACTTCATAGTGAACACAGAACAGTGTATGTGATTTCATAGTTTCACGCGTGACTGATCAGAACATTTGTGTGTTTGTGACATCAGCTGATAGTGACAGTGTAGTGATTCTCAGCTGCATGCATGCTTCATCGACTCGACTGGTGCACCCGGAACCAAAGACACTAGATAAGGTTTTCTTTAGATAAGATTTTCTTAGATTGATACATGCATGTTTATTATTTTTGAGGTAGCTAGCTAGCATATGCATATACATGTAATGATTATTGGTCATGACCGGTTTGTCCGTCTGTCGTCTTACTTAGCTTGGGTTATATTTGTATATACTGTGCACATTATTTTTATTTGAGTAATTATTATTGGACTGAAAGCAAGAGAGCCAGGATGGGTAAGTGGTAAATTAACAGTGCACATAGCCTTATACCCTTGAACCTACCCAGGTATTACCTTATAAAATATTTAACTGCTATTCCTTTTGACATTTGACTGTTTACGGACGAGACATAGTTGTTTTAGTCTGTGGTATTTTATAGCAGGTCAGTTGGTAAATAAGTTGAGTGAAGGTTATAGAGTTTGATTTATTCTCAGTGGTGTTTTGTGTTGTTGGAT